CTCGACAGTTGGGTGCGACCACATACTTGTCCTCGCCCACGTAACCGCCCAGCTGGATGGTCGGGGCGAAGAAGCGGTCCATGTTCATCATCATCCACTCCATCGTGCTGTCTGCAACCGAGAAAGCGGAACTGTGAGGAAATGTGAGGAAATGCTGAAGGTGGTGTCAGTATGAGGAAATGCTGAAGGTGGTGCCGTGATGAGGAAATGCTGAAGGTGGTGCCGGTATGGGGAAATCCTCAAGGTGGTGCCGGTATGAGGAAATACTCAAGGTGGTGTCAGTATGAGGAAATGCTCAAGGTGGTGTCAGTATGAGGAAATGCTGAAGGTGGTGCCGATATGAGGAAATGCTGAAGGTGGTGTCAGTATGAGGAAATGCTGAAGGTGGTGCCGTGATGAGGAAATGCTGAAGGTGGTGCCGGTATGAGGAAATGCTGAAGGTGGTGTCAGTATGAGGAAATCCTCAAGGTGGTGCCGGTATGAGGAAATACTCAAGGTGGTGTCAGTATGAGGAAATGCTCAAGGTGGTGTCAGTATGAGGAAATGCTGAAGGTGGTGCCGATATGAGGAAATGCTGAAGGTGGTGTCAGTATGAGGAAATGCTGAAGGTGGTGTCAGTATGAGGAAATGCTGAAGGTGGTGCCGGTATGAGGAAATGCTGAAGGTGGTGTCAGTATGAGGAAATGCTGAAGGTGGTGTCAGTATGAGGAAATGCTGAAGGTGGTGTCAGTATGAGGAAATGCTGAGGGTGGTGCCGGTATGAGGAAATGCTGAAGGTGGTGTCAGTATGAGGAAATGCTCAAGGTGGTGTCAGTATGAGGAAATGCTGAGGGTGGTGCCGGTATGAGGAAATGCTGAAGGTGGTGTCAGTATGAGGAAATGCTCAAGGTGGTGCCGGGATGAGGAAATGCTCAAGGTGGTGCCGTGATGAGGAAATGCTCAAGGTGGTGCCGTGATGAGGAAATGCTGAGGTTGCTGCTAATTATATAAATAAATTCTGAAGTAGATGCCAATATAAGTAAAGGCTGAAGTAGTTGATAATATAAGGAAGTGTAGGTGCTTTAGTATAAGCTAACTTCATCAAAAAACTACATAAACGGATGGAAAGTACACAATAAAGTGCACAATGAAATGTATAATACAAAAGTTTACTACATAACCATATACATAAATAGAAGTAAAGATTGTAAGTAATACATAAATGGGGGGAAAAAAAGCATAAAGTTGATACGTAAATATATGCGAATACATATATGAAGTTATTTTTCCATACACACAAAAAATTTAATACATCAGGAACTGCGAAAATAGAAACCGACAATGAAAGCGACGAAATTCCCAGCTCTACAAAGACACACACACACACACACACGGAACGTCACGGATCTTTTCCCGGTTTCTTAGGGGAAAAAACAAATCCAAAAATCCATATACATCACCGCCGCCCCCCGCCCCCCCGCCCGCTCCACCTCGTCCAATAGCCGGAGAAAACGGGCGGTGAGGGGTGCGCTCCCTCCCCTCGCGCCCGTCGCCATAACGACTCTCGACAACTCTCAATAACCATCTACGTCTCTCTGCGTCTCTGTTTCTGTTTCTGTCTGTCTGTCTGTCTGTCTGTTCTTACCCCCCCTCTCTCTCTTGCCCCCCCCCCTCTCTCTCTCTCTTGCCCCCCTCTCTCTCTCTCTCTATCTTGCCGTCTTTCTTTCTCTTTCTCTCTATCTCTCCCTTGTCCTCTCTTTCTCTTCTCTCTCTCTCTCTTCTCACCCCTCCCTCCTCTCTCTCTCTCTCTCTCTCTCTCTCTCTCTCTCTCTCTCTCTCTCTCCCTCCTCTCTCTCTCTCCTCCCCTCTCTCTCTCTCTCTCTCTCTCTCTCTCACTCACTCTTTTCTCTCCCCTCTCACTTTTTCTCCCCTCTCACGTTTTCTCCCCCTCTCACTTTTTCTCCCCCTCTCCCTATCTCTATCTCTTTCCCTCTTTTTTTTTCTCTCTCTCCCTTCTCTCTCTCTCTTTTTCTCCCCCCCCTTCCCTTTCCTTCCCTCTCAGCCCCATTACCTCCATCTTTTCAAGCTAATGACGCCGGCCAACCTAAGGAAACATGTGCTGCGGGGAAGGCGGGCTTGGAAAGGATGAGATGACATCACTGAAACGATGCCTAATTGCATCACTCTGACGGAAATAACCGCCGCGACTTCGGCCTGACATCCTACTTCAAAAAGCACGTGTTGCGAGCGTAATCAACTAAGGGGCTCATCAAAGACATCAAACAGAGCTACGGGGCGACGGCGAAAATGATGAACAGGAACACTTAAGGGACTAAATATGACTTGCCACGAACACATACACATACGCACAGAGAGAGAGAGGAGAGAGAGAGAGAGAGAGAGAGAGAGAGAGAGAGAGAGAGAGAGAGAGAGAGAGAGAGAGAGAGAGAGAGAGAGAGAGAAGGAAAGGGTGTGGGAGACGAGGAGAAAGATAGATAGATAGATAGATAGATAGATAGATAGATAGATAGATAGAGATAGACACAGATATACAGACAGACAGATAAACACACACGCACGCACACACACACACACACACACACACACACACACACACACACACACACACACACACATATATATATATATATATATATATATATATATATATATTTAGAGAGAGAAAGAAAGAGAGAGAGAGATTGATAAAAATCTCAAGCGCACTCACTTCGACCTCCTCCTTCAATTAGTCTATTTCTGTACCGCAATTTTCAGTAAAAGACTCCCGTCTTGTAACGACAGTGATCAGCACAGTCTCCTCCCGCCTCGCCACATGGCTTGGCCTCTTCACTCTCCTATGGTTGCTTAGTCTCCCTTCTCCCTTCTCCCCTCTCCCCTCTCCCTTCTTTCCTCCTCCACCTCTCTCTCTCTCTCTCTCTCTCTCTCTCTCTCTCTCTCTCTCTCTCTCTCTCTCTCTCTCTCTCTCTCTCTCTCTCTCTCTCTCTCTATCTTTCTATCTTTCTATCTTTCTATCTCTGTCTGCCTCTGTCTGTCTGTCTGTCTCTCTCTCTCTCTTTCATGCCAACCCGAGCTGTCGAACACCGATATTTCTCGGCGGAAAAAAATGGTTGAGTTCCCCCGAAACACGTATTCCTCAGTAAAGAAGACACAAAAACGAAAGCGATAGCTTTGTTTCCATCCCGAGGAGTCGAAAAACGAACTCTCTTAAAAAAAGAAAAGAAAAAGAAACAGGGATAGAGAATATACATGTACATAAACACACACACACACACACACACACACACACACACACACACACACACACACACACACACACACACGCGCACACACACACACACACACACACACACACACACACACACACACACACACACACACACACACGCACACACGCACACACGCACACAAAGAGGTTCTGCACGTCCGAGGCCCCAGACCTGAAGACGAACCCCGCCAGGATTTCGAAACAGCCGTCTCCTCTTCCCATGCCCTCCCACTGCCTCAAGACGACAGTGTTTCGTCGATATTCTTACCTTTCCATTGTAAACGCGATCGACTTCTATTCACATACCGAGTGATCATTATCATCTTGCAACCTATCTTTAAGTCCCTCAACATCGGGGTAAATCACCGACTTGCTCATTAGAACTTTAAAAATCCGGCAACAAAAACCGGGAAGCGAAAATGGATGAAAGAGGCTAAAACAAATTATATATTATTTATCTCTCTTTCTCTCTCTCTCTCTCTCTGTGTTCTCTCTCTCTCTCTCTCTCTCTCTCTCTCTCTCTCTCTCTCTCTCTCTCTCTCTCTCTCTCTCTCTCTCTCTCTCTCTCTCTCTCTCTCTCTTTCTCTCTCTCTCAAAAAAAAAAAAAAAAGTAACAGTAACACTAATAATAATAATAATAATAATAATAATAATAATAATAACAATAATACTTCTACGACAAATAATAATAGTGATGATGATGATGACTATGACAATGATAATGAAGATGATGATGACAATGATAATAATAATGATAAGACAGCAATGAAAAAAAACATCAGAAACAACAACAATAGCACCAACTCGCCAATCCATTTCCCTATAAATATAAAGGTCCTGTGGCAGCGAATAAGACGAAAATGAGAATAAAATAACAGGGTTGATGACGAAAGAATAATAATAATAATCATAATAATAATAAGAAGAAGGAGGAGAAGGAGAAGAGAAGCCAGAGATGATGGCGGAGATGGAGATGGTGATAATGATGAAAGAAGGGAAGAAGATGAAGGAGAAGAGAAGGAAGATGATGGTGGAAATGGAAATGGAATTAATCATGAAAGTAGGGATAAAGAAGATAATGATGATGATGATGGAAATGGTAACAATGATGAAAAAGATGATGATGGTGATGTGATGGGATCTTAATGTACTATAACTGATGTCAATGTTATTAGTATTATTATCATCATCATTATTATCAGGACCATTATCACTATCATCTTTCCATCATCATTAGCATTATTACATCACCATCATTGTCAACACAAATAAATACATACACTTAAAACAAAATAATAATGATCAAATAAATATGCAATATATATATATATATAACAGACGCATAAAAAAGAAAAATATACATGATAATAAAGCAAACCAAAACTATCAATCCTAATCTCCTAATCTTCCCTCGCTGTGAGCTTCTTGTTCCAAAAATAAGCAACGTTTAGTTCGGTGAAAGTTCCGCCACAACTTCGAAACTATCCTTCGTGAAAACTTCCAGGTGGTGGTCGCACGGAAGTTACGGAGGTATATTCGGATTTCTAAAAAAAAAACTTTTATTTATTTTCGTTATCTTTTAATTTTATATCTGTCATGACTACTACCAATACCATCTTGTGGGCGCACAAATACACGCACACATTTTTTTTTTTAACGTGTATAAATTTTCATTATCCTAAGTTCCAAAAATGTCTGCCCTGACGAAAGGTAACTGCCGGTCTGTAAAGATTGCCTTTTTATAGCAGCACATGTTACCGTACACTCATTCAAAGTATGGGTCTGACATAATTTTGCTTAATAAAAATAATTTGATATTACAATATTATGAACATTATGAATGA